GTAGAACATTCAATAACTATTAAAATCTTTCCCAAAAAAAAAACTTTTTTTCCCTACCACACACTCAAACGTATATTAATAATGATGGGTGCTTGAATTATTTTTTATTATTATTATATGCTTGAATATTATATATGCAATTTTTTTCCAGTTGCATTGGTAATATAGATACAGTGAATTCATGGCAAAAACTTTTCCCAAACTGTCCCAATGTGCAACATATATATTACACACACACGTGTGTAAAATCATTTCGCTGAAATAGAAATCTTTTGTAACATTATAAAGTACTGTTACTTTTGATCAATTTTATGCATCCTTGCTTGAAGTATTAATTTCTTTAAAATAGAAAAATTCTTACTGACCCCAAACTTTTAAACAGAAGCACACTCTTAAAAATAAAGGTGCTTCAAAAGGTTCTTCAAGCGATGCCATAGAAGAACCATTTTTGGTTCCACAAAGAACCATTCAGTCAAAGGTTCTTTAAAGAACCATCTCTTTCTTACCTTTTTGTAATCTGAAGAACTTTCTTTCGCCCCAAAGAACCTTTTGTGAAACAGAAAGGTTCTTCAGATGTTAAAGGTTCTTTATGGAACCATTTAGACAAAAAGGTTCTTCTATGGCATCGTGAAGCACCTTTATTTTTAAGAGTGCATATAATGTTACAAAAGCTTTCTATTTCAGATAAATGCTGTTCTTAAATGCATATCACAATTTTCTGTTTATCAAAGAATACTGGGGGGAAAAAATGTACACAACTGTTTTCAAGCAGCTAAGACCAGCAAACCAGTTTTGAATGACTTGTAAAATGATTTGGGTGGAACCATTAGTCTAAACAGCTGAAGAGCTGCTGCCAACAAAAATAAATTTAATCATTCTAAAATATTTAATCAGTTTGCTTTACTTTACTCATATTTTAGAAGCAGACGCCAGTCATTCTTTTAACAAATTTTGCAACAAACCCTGAAATGTGAATAAATCTCTTCAAGCTGTTCTAGTGTCAGCAGGTCATTTTTTCTTCTGCCTTTGGAAACAGTGGATGTACTCGTTCCAGCACGGGTGGAGTCTGTTTCCTACATTCCCAAAGATCTTCAGTGGCAGCAGATGTAACATCTACAGTTCATATTTCACGCCAGATTAGTTAACTTGCATTAAAGGGCAGCAGAACGAACAAATGTGTTTCTCGGTTTAACTAAGGTTTATTTCGACTAATATAGGTGACCTTAAAGGGGTCATATGATGCGATTTCAAGTTTTTTACTTTAAACCGCATAAACACATTTCATTACACCAAATACACAAAATAATGTTCTTTTTAGCAACATCATATGACCCCTTTAACTTACTCACCAGTCCATGTTATCAGCGTTTTGGCGGCATTCCAGTGTTCTGACAAATAATGCTACCTATCAGATTATGCTACCAACACTGTATTTATCCTACTGTAAGGGTAGGTTTAGGGTTGGGGTAGGTGTACATGTTAATAAAGCCTCACACCTTATTAATATCATGCTGGAAGCTAAATCTGATAGGTAGCACTTTTCGCTATCGAATTATGCTACCATCTGTTTTAATGGGAGGTAGCAAAATCTGACAGGGTAGCACAAATCATCAGAACACCGGCCGTCAGTCAGAAAAAAAGGCTCCAACTCCCAACATGAAAAACGACACGATGAATAATGTTAGTTAGCTGTTGACAAGTGAAAACATCTTAAAATATCTCACTTTTACATAAAACATAAATAATATACTAACCTTTTTGCCGCGTTAACGGTGCAACATTTCTCTTTTGCCTTTTACCGCCACTTCCACCAAATAGTGAAAAAAGAAAACAGTGGTTCTTCCTTGCCATTGGTCAGTTTTTCCCGGGCAAGTTCACTACTGTAAATTTACAGTAGTTTACTGTAAATGGGTTTAGAAATACAGTAGTGACCGTATATTTTCCCATACAGTAAAATACTGTATACACACTGTACATATTACAGTAAAATACTGCTCAAATTACAAAAATAATTTACAGTGCACAAATATACCTGCAACCTTTTAAGAAACATTTACACATGCCGAAAAGTAATAGTGCCATTAATTATTTACATTGAGAAAGACAGGATCATAATACTGAATTCAATACAAACAGTCAGATTGATAGTAAGTTTGGGGAAATGGTTTCCCATTGGATCTCGAATACGATTAAACTTCAAATTAATAATATTGCTTTTTACCTTTATTCAGTCATAATTCTTAACTGTCAGGAATATTGCATGTTAAAAGCAACAATGTTATCTATATTATAATAAAGAGCTGCTATGTCAAGATCTGTCTTCAAACCACTTTAATGCTTCAGTGCATTTAAAAAGAAATAATAATTTATGCAACTGTCACAGTTGATCGACTTCACATCTACTAAGAAATAGAGTGTATTTGTTTAATATTTGCCAGCGATGGGGTTCACATCTGTCATTCTTATTAACTTTTAACCAGCAGTTTAGAAATGAAAAGAGATGGAATTTTACATTTAAATGCAGGGGAATTTTAGATGGTATAAGGGAATTATGTTTAAAAAAAAAAGTATCTTGCATTTTTTTTATTAAGAATATTGAATCATCAATATAATTTGTTTGTGTTGAAACAAATATAGCGCATTATAATTGCCCTCTCACAAATGCTCTGTTTATTTTCCACGGTAGTTGTTTTCCAGTGAAGTTTTAGTAGACTATTGAATCTGTCCCAAAAACACTATTAGAGGTCATTTCTGGGTAAATTTAGAAAGGAGGTAATATTGTCATTTGTGTTGCATGTGTCCATTTCCTGCCCTAATCGGCCCAGTCATCCCAGCTGCATGCTCCCCACAATCCAATTTACCTAATTAATTAGCATTAGTACATGTGTGCAGAATCATACAGGCATTCTGCTGGTTGATCAATAAGTCCGTCCTGACACCGGAGATCAGATAGAGATGGTTTCAACAATTTTCATATTGATGCTTCCCTTGGAGGTCTCAGACCACACAGATTGAGGTTTCAGAGGCAGTTCAAGAGCCCCGGGGTCCGTAATCCAGCCCTGCCGTGGACGGAAATGTCTGTTAGAGCTTAACATGCGCTTAATCAGGTCTGATGTCTTGAAGAACCTGAAATTCTGCATCCCACTCAACATGGCTGGAGCACGAGCTATAAATGCGCATGTTCCTACAAGTTCCACGTGGGCGATGTGATGCGTTTCCCAATCCCATTCCCATTCATTTGTTTTCCTTACTCACTACTATGACAAACGTGGTCAAAAGAAAAAGAAAAGAAATTAAAATGAGCCCAGATTTGGATTCACCTATACAAAATAGAGAAAATAATGGTGTAATCACCAATAATTATGGGCATTTTGGACCTAACGTCCTCAAATGTCACCAAACACTCTGAAAAATATAGGTTGGTAATTGAGGAATGGAAATATTCCATCGATTTATAAATGTTTTTCATGGAACCATAGATGTTGATAAAGAATAAATATTTTAAGAGTGTGTTTTCGAAAATAGTTAAACCGTTCTTCAGACTAAAAAAAATAAGTATTTTAGGAACTATTCATTGAAAAGTTCTTTGGGGAACCAAAAATGGCTCTTCTATGACTTCGCTGCGAAAACACCCTACTGGAACCTTTATTTTAAGAGTGTAACGTAGGCCGGTAAGTGTATATCAGCTATTATATTTCAGAATCCTGCATATCAGATGCATATCACAGGTATGCAACCTGCATGAAAGCCCCTCACTGAAGACCCTTGGGCTGATGTCGTTCCCGACACAAGGATGTTTTTCTCTCTCAGCTTGTGTAAATTTGTGAAATGTTATATGGGAAAAAAAACATATTTCATGTCTGGTGCTAAAATAAATATATAAATATAAGCAACTTTACTGTGAAGTTTACTTTCTTAAAGACTATTTAATTTTCATATTGTTTTATGAATAAAATGTAAAAACTGTATCATTGCGTTTTGTTGAACTGGTTCACTTGAATCTGCATGTATCCAAAACCTCTTCCTGTTAAACAGAATATCACTGGATCCATAAGCCTAAAATAAATTGACACTGTGACCCAGCTTCTGTTGAACGTGCTCCAGTTCCCTGGAAATGATAGGAAAACATTTTCATGAACACTAGAACCTTTTTCGGTCTTTCTTATGCCAAGTTTTGAGAGGTTTGTCTGCAGTTGCCAAGTTTTTATTTTCTAACATTTGGAGAAACATAATATATGTGAAAATAAATGATCAGTATGTTTGGATTCAAACATCATGTAAATATCAAGGTGGGCTATTTATCCTACACTTGTTATGCAGTGAGAAATACAGTGTAACTGCTCAAATTGAGTTAATATCGTGTTGGTTTAAGGACATCTCTGAGAATTCAGAGTGTTAGATTTCAGCCAGGCGTTCTCATTCCTGCTTTAACTTGTTCTTCTCCATTACAAATGAACAAAAACATGAGAGAAATCAGTTTGTACCTGTAATGCCATTTAAAATTAGTCAGAACAGCTGGGAAACTTTGGTGAAAACTTTTTCGGTGTAAATAGCAGCCAACTGCCTGCAGGCCAAAATCATTTACAAAAGAAAAATCAGTTGATTGACAGTTGTTTGTTGATGGTACAATATGCTCATTACATTGAAACACGGTGTGTAGGAGCCGTTTTAACTTGGGGGCAATTTGAACTATTATCTCTCACTTTAATTTATTTGTTCCTTTACGGGAAATTTGTTTTGGACAATACAGGTATTATGAAGTTTCTCAATACAACTTTCTGTGAGATAATAAATACACAATGTGCCTTAATGTGCTGTAGACTATAGTATGAATACATTTATCTACATAAATCTACACATGTAAGAATAAGAATTTGTAGCGCTTATCAAAGTCTTTCAGCCAATCAGACGTAACAATACGTGATTAATATTAATGAGATGGGGGCGGGTTAGTGTAAACAGGGTGTCGATGACGCACAAGCGCAGAAAGAAGAAAAGTGCGGTGCAGAGTAATTCGCTACTTCTCTTTTCCTTGCCTCTCTGAGGAGATTCATTTTTACTTCGCAGACAGACTTGTTTACCGGTTTTCAACTGGGGAAATAACGAAAGAGTGGATGCAAAGGTAAGTTTAGGAAGCTCTTAAAGCAATTACGCGATGTGGCATGAAATGAGCATTTGATTATTTGCATCAATTGTTTATTATGGGCACGCATAGTGATGTTTAGCTACTTATGCATGTAAATACTAATGAATATTAAAGCTATTATGTTCTGTTGCCTGTCCTGGTGTTACAAAATTAATAATACAAAACGGCTCTGGTGCTACAAATAAATATATAACAGTGAAACATTATAGACACTGATTTTAATTACAATAACAAATCATTGCAATAACCCATAACAAATTCTAATGACTATCACATGTTGCCTTTTCGGATTTTATATTCAAAATTCAGATTTTGGTGTTAAAATTGAAAATGAATATCAAAAGTTAATTAAAACATATGGTCTTTTTTTTAAATATGGATTTTATAAGACAAGACAAAACCTTTTATGTTCACAATTTAACTGTGTGCTGTGAAATCATTTAGTAATTGATTGATTGATTTAGTCAATAATTGATTTATTGATTGATATACCGTCTGTCACTTCATTTATTTTGTCCAGTAATGCAGTGTTGTAAATCACATCTGTGTCTGAAAAGTATCATTCTGTCCTGATTGATATTAACACCTGTAGAAACAGCTCTGTGGAAGTGTCAGGATTCCACTGTAAGCCATTGTTTGCTGTGCAGATTCCAGTAGGTTAGTGATGCTCTAGTGAATGGCTTTTGTGCTCTGTGTTTCTTTTATGCACATGTACAGACACCGACGTCTCATTAGGAGAAATAACATCATAGTGTGGGAAGAAATGTGTGTAGAAATGAAAACATTCCAAGAGGCTCTTAATCCAGGCCAGAATCTACAATAGCCTCCTTTTTTTATTCTTTGACCTTAAATTCATTGCGATGACAGCCAGTGGCACCAAGGAGCGGTTTGTCCCCTTAACAGAGAGAAAACACAAGCCAAACGCTAGGAAAAGATAAAAGGGAGCAATGTCCCACTCAGAAACATGGCTTTCCTTGCCAAAATGGCAAGTTTCCTACTGTTATTGGTTTGTTGTAATATGTCTAATTGTGCTGTAGACTGTAGAGAAATGTCACCACTTGATGTTGCTTGGAAGCAAACCCATGCTCTAATGTGCTATTTTTGCACCTGACTACTATGATAAATGCTTGCAAGGTGAACGACCCTCTTACCAGAATCTGCTTCCAATTTCATGCCCACAAACTGACACTATATCATTGATCTATATCCAGGATTCAATCACCTTGTCATAGGTGTTATCACAATGTAAGTATTCAAAAAGGAAATTTTACCATTTTTCAGCTGCAACGGTGTTTGGTTTGCTTAGCATATAAAGAATGCCTTGTGACAAATTTCCCAGAAAAAGGTGTGGAAGTTGGTGTTTGGAAAAGGGCACGTGCCATGAACATGAACCCATGATGCTCTCTTTCTTTAATCCTATCACTCATAAATCTGTCTTCAATTTACGTAAGGGCTTGTCCTGTGGAGCAACCGCTAAATTAGGACACTTGCGGTTTCAGGTTGCTGCTCTCTCAAATGTTCTGTCAACGCCCTTGCAGATATTTGCTTAAGTGTCACAAAAAAGATGTAGTCACACAAAAACTAACCTCTATATACAACACTCAACTCAAACAAGTCCTGACTGGGGTCTCTTGAATGTTCGTCTAGCCACCAGACAGCTGACTTGATTCAAACGAGCGCGTCAAAAATTCATGACCGGACAGGATATTTTACCATTTTTCAGCTGCAACGGTGTTTGGTTTGCTTAGCATATAAAGAATGCCTTGTGACAAATTTCCCAGAAAAAGGTGTGGAAGTTGGTGTTTGGAAAAGGGCACATGCCATGAACATGAACCCATGATGCTCTCTTTCTTTAATCCTATCACTCATAAATCTGTCTTCAATTTACGTAAGGGCTTGTCCTGTGGAGCAACCGCTAAATTAGGACACTTGCGGTTTCAGGTTGCTGCTCTCTCAAATGTTCTGTCAACGCCCTTGCAGATATTTGCTTAAGTGTCACAAAAAAGATGTAGTCACACAAAAACTAACCTCTATATACAACACTCAACTCAAACAAGTCCTGACTGGGGTCTCTTGAATGTTCGTCTAGCCACCAGACAGCTGACAGATATCTCTGTTTGACAGCCATAAACACCACTCCCTCTCTGTTCCACTCCATGAAGCTCCGCCGTCTCAGTCAACATTGTTACATTTATGCAGTTTAGATGCAGGTCACATTCTACCATAAATATGACAAACTCCAGCTGCGGTCTTGGACTTACTGTCTATTTTTGACAGTGACTATGACTAATAAAATATCATATAAATAATAATTCTACTATAAATATGACAAACTTCAGCTGCGTTCTTGGACGTACTGTCTATTTTTGACCATGACTATGACTTCAGGCAAGATCTCAAATAACCCTGGCTGGGACAGAGTAGAAGAATGACACTTTTCCATTTATATAGACTTTTAATTTTGACTTACCGGTTTCTAATGAAAATGCAACCATCACTGTTATTTTGGGATTAAATCTACAAATTTTGCCTGTTGGACAACAAAATTATACAGACTCGGTGATAGACTAAACAACTACCTAGCAACTGCATTCCAGCATCCTAACAACCACCAAAAACACCAAAGCAATTGCATAGCAACTGTCTGACAATGCCTACGACACTCTGGTAACCAATGCCCTGGCAACCACTCACACCACTCTAGAAACTGCATAGCAAAACTCTGACAACATCCTGGCAACTGCATACTGACTCCCTAGCAACCACATAGAACAATCTGGCGGCTGCATAGCAATTCCCTGGCAACCACCCACAACACTGTAGAAACGGCATAGCAACACACTGGCAACAGTTACAATACCACAGTAACACCATTGCAACCACCGTGAACACCGTGGCAACTGCATATCAATACCATGGCAACCACCCACAACACTCTAGAAACTGCATAGCAACACTCTGGCAACACCCACAATGCCATAGTAACACCATAACAACCACAACTGCATAGCAGCACCCTGACAACCACCTACACCACTCTAGATAAGGCATATCAACACTATGGCAACACCTTCAACAGCATAGCCACACCCTAGCAACAACCTAGAACACTCCGGCAGCAGCACTCGGGAAAATAATTGGAGAAATAAATTCCATCAAATGTAATTAATCAAGATATAGAAAACATTATAATATTCTATAATAAAAATATAAATTATATTAATATATAATACAAATATTATACATATAAATTAGGGATGCACGATATATCGGCCACCATATCGGTAATAATATAAATAATATAAAACAAATATATACATGAAAACATATCAATTAAACATAAACATGTCAGAAAACCAAAGCAACATTCCTCCTTTACAGAACTCAGTCAGTACTTGTGGCCGGTCAGATGTGTGTTCCTGAACCTGTCTAGACAAATCCAGCCTTTTGCTTTTACTCCAGCTGCCTCTGAGATAAATGATGAAGAGCTGATGAGCTGGGCTGGGCTGGGCTAGATTAATGATAAGGAATCAGGAGAATCAGGCAGCAGTTACTGAAGACAGACTGTGTCTGCAGACAGACTAATGCAAAAACCCCTTGATTAACAGCATCTACTAAGAGCAGACACACACACACACACAGGCTTAGACAGAGTCGATCTTGTGAAACTGAATGTCTCGTGTCTATTGTTGCACAACAGTTCTTGATAATGACGTCAGACCCTGTGATTAAAGGCAGGAACTTTAGGAAAAGTCTTTAGTTCATCTACTGCAGCGACACTACACTAATCATAGTGTAGATAAGCTCATAAAGATGAGGTATTATGCAATAAACACACATTCACTGATCGCATTACCTGCAGTAATGGCATAACCGGAAATTAAGCTTTTACTTGAAAGAGCATGTATTGGGAATTGATCCAGCCAGTAGGATTTCGTAAAAGCTTTTTTGTTTGCATGTGTACAGAGACCTACAATTAAAAAATAATGCATATAAGGACACGCTCTGTGTGAACAGCTATAGAATGTATCTACCAAGGATTCAGATCAATATTGTAATTGTACTCTGTTATTATATAGACATTGACAAGTTTCTCTTTTTTTAGATAAGTAAAATTAGGATTTGGACATGAAAGCAAAGAAAACATGAATGGAGACTTTGAGGAGTCTTTGTGGCCGTCCTTTATCTCCATTCTCATAAATGTTTTGCCTTCTTTAATAGTAAGAATGGGGCACTTCATTTAAATATGAATCAACTCATTCAAAGTGGGAACTGAAATGAGTAAAAGAGGAATGCAAACTCTTTCTTTTCCTGTGTCTTTAGCAAGCGTGTGTCACATGATCTACACGTCTCTAACTGTCTGTTAAAAGTGCAATGAAGTCTTTTGCAATTTGAATGTAACTCAATGTGAACTCTTTTTTTCTATTAGCATAACAGTGTGACTAAGAAATTGCTTTATGAATGGTTCAAGAATGCTACATTTAGCTTTATTTTAGTGTATAGTATTTATAAAAGTAAAATAGAAAAATAGATGATCAGGAATAAAATGCTATCAGGATTGGGAAAAACAGAAGTGTTGCAATTCCATTTGAGGCACAGAAATGACTCACTTTGCATTTGGCTGATCTGGTCAGTGGGTGTAAATAATGGCTCATTTAAGCCATTCCTGTTGATAAGTATATTAAGTAGGATTTATTGTACATTTTAAGGCCATTTTAGTAACTTATAACCTCAAGTGCAGGTGATGTCCTCCACATCCCATCTTTTTGTTAAGTATCTTTACACAATAATAAACACAATCCACTGCTGGTCAAGTAATGCTTCCCTGCCTTAAAGACTGCGTCTTGCATTTTTATTAGTGACACCAATATAAATATCATTCTGATATTTTCATGTGAAATTAAACTAGGCGAGTCACATGGGAAAATGTTGTCTGTAAATCCAGTCATGTTTATATGTATTAACCATCTCACTTAACATTCAGTGTTATTCAACACCAGAGAATATGGAGTAAAATATAGCAGTGAGTGCTTTTACTGGGCAGTATGATTAATGTAGTTGCCCAGTGGCTCCTGAGAGTCTGGTAAACACAGTTAGTTCACTCACTGTCTGCATGAATCCTGCTACGTTATTGAATGTTTTTACTCTAATTGGGTTTGAATGAACTATATTTTCTCTCTAATTTGGTTATTACTTACTATATTTGGACAGTATAAATGTGGTTTGCGTGCACACGCTGAATGGATGTGTGATTTGCAACATTTAGCGATCCATTTGTTTAATATAGTATAATATCAAATAAATAATATAATATAGCATATGGGATAATGTAGAGTTTAAGTTTATTTTGTGATCATGACTGGCTGACTGTACATTATCTCGCTTGTCGTGCATACTCACCAGATAAATAAATATGTGAAGATGAAATATTGATTCAGGGTTAAATTATTAATTATTTATTTGCATTTTTCCTGTATGCTATTTTTAAAGAAAATAGTCAGTTACAATGTACAAAACAATTCAAAGAGAATATTACAGCGAAAATATTACAGCAGTGTTATTTTCGGTTTATTTATATACTATTGTAGCATTAATGATTATTATGAATTAGGTTTTATTTCAATATTGGTTTTTAAATATTATTGATATGGTATTTTAAAGGATTTTTTCATTTGTATTAGTTTTTTGTATAGCAGTTTGGGTAATTTTATTACTTCAAATTAAACTTAGTTAAGGCAACATTTCTCATTTTTAAGTTTTGAAGTTAAAGTTTTTCATCTAATATTTATGTTTTATTTAATTTTTAGCTTTTTATCATTTTAATTTTAGTTACATACCACTATACAGTAGTATTAATACTTGGAGTACTCAGACTTGTTCTGAGGTCATATTCACTGCAGCTGCTAACTGAGATGCTTGGCACTAAATGATTTTGTATGAAACATAAGCATGTGTGTGAGAAATGCACTAAAAACAAAAACAAAAATAGCATTATTGCACATGGCTGTTATTGTAGTATAATTTGGATACTAATCAGAGGCGTACAGTAGTGAAGTATTTTTCTTTGCTGTAAAAGTACTTTTCAAGTGTCTGTACTTTATCAGAGTGTTTTTCTTTAGAAAATTTTACTTCACAACATTCCAAAGCATAATATTGTACTTTTTACTGCACTACGTTTCATATTAAATATCATTTCATACTTAATTACATTAGAACTCTATTACTTTCTTACGTTTAATCAAGTAAAAGTAATTCAAAGATTTACTTGAGTACAAGAAAGTACTACATTTTTTATGTTCTTAAGTATTAAAGGTAAAACAAACAACAACTTTTATTTATGAAATGTAGTGCAGTAAAAAGTATGATATTATGCTTTGGAATGTAGTGAAGTAAAAGCTTTCCAAAGAAAAACACTCTGATAAACTACAGATACTTTTTAAATTTACTTGAGTACAGTAAAAAATACTTCACTACTGTCCGCCTCTGATACTAATATAATTTTTATTCATATTTTGAATTTTTTAAAATATATTTTCCGTTTTCATTTGTATTTTTTGTCTGTACAGTTTTTATCGATTTTGATTTCAGTTTTAGTTTATTTTAGTATATCAAGTTAAATTAAATGAAAATGAGAAACTGAAATGAAATGAAAAGTTCTTATTTTATTTTAAGTTCGCATCTATTTTATTTCAAGCAGTGATTTTTTAAAATGTTTTCAGTTAACTATAATAACTCAATAATAATTAATAATGACAATATGTCAAATAATAATCAGAATACAACTTTATCTATGCATCTGTTCATGCACGACTACACTGATGCATAAACATTTCTGTTTTTCAGAATGTGAAGCAATATCCGTTAAGATGGAGTCTCTTAACCATTCGGCCTCCATTCTGCCTTCCTGCACCTACAAGGAGGACTTCAAGCGCTTCCTCCTCCCGTCCGTCTACAGCCTGGTCTTCATCTTTGGACTGCCGCTCAACTTCATCATCATCCTGCAGATCTGGGGCTCCCGGCGCGCTCTGACGCGGACCAAAATCTACATGCTGAATCTAGCGGTGGCGGACTTCCTGTACGTCTGTTCCCTTCCGCTTCTCATATACAACTACGCCAGCAAAGACTACTGGCCGTTCGGAGACTTCACCTGCCGCTTGGTTCGCTTCCAGTTCTACAGCAACTTGCACGGAAGCATCTTCTTCCTCACCTGCATCAGCTTCCAGCGCTACATGGGCATCTGCCATCCGCTGACGGTGTGGCCCAGACAAGGTGGACGCAGGCTGGCGTGGTTGGTCTGCGCAGGCGTCTGGGTGGCCGTCGCCGTTCTCTGCGCTCCAACGTTCGAGTTCGCCGCCACGGGCATCCAGCGCAACCGCACGGTGTGCTACGACCTCAGCGTTCCAGAGCGCTCCACAGCATACTTCCCATACGGCATCACTTTGACCTGTCTGGGCTTCGTCGTGCCCTTTCTAGTGATCGTAGTGCTGTACAGCAAAATGGCACGGGTTCTCTGGCAAGTCGGCGAAGCCCGAGAAGCCTCGGCCATTGAGAAGAAGAATAAAGCCATGAGGATGATCATCATTGTAATGCTGGTGTTCGCCATCAGCTTTTTGCCCTTCCACGTGACCAAGACGCTCTACCTGCTGGTGAGGACCTTTCCCACAGCCCCCTGCGAACTGAGGAACCTGCTGTCTGTGGTCTACAAATGCACCAGACCCTTCGCCAGCATGAACAGTGTTCTGGACCCCATTCTGTTCTACTTCACCCAGCCGCAGTACAGACGCAGCACCAGGAGTCTGCTGCGCCAGATCACCTCGCTCAGAGACAAGGCTGGCCAAATCTGACTCGAGCACACCTGCTTTGGTCGAAAGTTTCTGAATGCTAAAGCAAGACACTACAGTCATAACCATTGTTATGTCCACTGGACATATTTGAGTTTTTTTATGCTAAAGTTTACAAATTAGTACCTTTTTTAAAAGGTTGCCACCCTAGTAACAGTATTGTACCTTTATTTCTGAGAGTGTAGTGGGGAAAAAAACATCCAAAATACACATTTAAAGGTGCAGTAAGCGATTTCTGAAAAGCGCTGTTGAGAGTTGAAATCACTGAAACAAGCAACACCCCTAACCAAAAAGATCACACCCCTATCTTGATAGCTCCGCCCCCCAAATTCATGAACATGCTGTGCAGCACAGGCACCTCCCCCATCATCAGTGGATACGCCCCTTACTGGTGATTGGCTACAAATGCGTTCAATGGCGTTTCTCAGAAATCACTTACTGCACCTTTAAGTGTTTATTTTGACACTTTATTTATTTGTGTCTATAGATTTTAATTACAGTAAAAATCTCTAAAGGCTATTTTCTCAAAATGAGATTTTTTTCTTACATGCTGAACCCGAGCTCTCCACTTCAGCAGCTTGTACAGCAAACTTTTGTTTTTACAGAAGGGTTTGTTCCAGGGTTATTATAGTTAACTAAAACTAAAACTGAAAACTAAAAATAAACATTTCCGTTACTTAAAATAAAATAAATGCTAACTGAAATAAAATATTGAAAAAATATTTTATGTCAGCTAGTTGTGGAGGCAACATTTATCACTTTCATTTAGTTTAGCTTGAAGTACTAAAATAACAAACTAAATAATAAATACAAATTGATAAAAAAATATATAGACATAAAAACAAATAAAAGAAAATATATAAACATAAAATTCTAAATATTTACAAACATTATAATAGCATATCAATGATACTAAAATAAAACTGGTTTGTTCGTATAACATTCACCTAATTTATATTTTAAAAATTTCCATAAAATTGTAGTGAATATGTGTTTGACAGCTGTTTGCTGAATTACGGGGAGATAAAAAGAAATATCCGAAATCCTCTCTCTAAAAACTTTTAACACTAACATGTTAACAAAATGAAACAAGGATTTTGAACCTAGCGTTATCCAATGTTCAGTTTTCTGTTCTGGAAATGTGTGAAATGTAGTGCATTTTTAATTAGATAATGCCTCATATGCATATTTAAATGTACCATGTAATTCAAAACGTAATGTCTTAATGTACTGTGATTAGTTAACTGGGGAAGTATGGTGATATCTATTAGTTAAACAATTACCCTGTTAACCTGTAGTGTCTTACGTTAAGATACGCTTAGTAGACTGTGTGGTTGTTGAAACAACATCAACAAAAAGTAAATATTTAAATACAAATGTCCAAGGTGTTAAGTACCTGTACTGTGAAGGTTGCACATAATGGTTGAAGGAAGTGACTCATATTGACTGATTCAGTGTTACAAAAAAATCATTTATGATGACTGGATCTATCACCCTTTGGACATTTACATTTGCTTTGAGAGACCAGCCCACAGTAGAGCTGTGTGTGTCGTTTCTGAGCGTTTAACCCCTGTGAGTGTCTAGATCAGCTGATCTCTCTGATCTTTATGAGGGCAATAGGATGTAGATGTTGATATAAGAATTACAGAACTGTGAAAGCAGAAATATCTCTGCCAGTTTCAGATTTTTGATCCAAGGGGATTTTGAGTGCAAATTTAAAAAAAGAATGGTTAACTTTTGATAATTAATATGCACTGGATTTGCAAGTATTTAAAAAAGTGTTTAAAAACACAAAGAAAAGAAATCACCCATTGGTTATTTTTTCAAAATTCAGCTTTGCATAACAAGAATAAATAACATTTGAAAAATATATTCAAACGGAAAACGGTTATTTGAAATTATAGTATTTTTCACAATATTACTGTTTTTACTGTATTTTGAGCAAAGAAATGCAGCCTTGGTGAGCAGAAGAGACTTCTTTTAAAAAACATCTTAGCAACCCCAAACGTTTGAACAGTGTTGTATATGCATGATATTTAGGATAACTAGGTCCGTTGTGACGGTGTGGAATTATGGATGAGAGATAGAGATGAATGAAAGCATTTGGAGTTGAAGAGTAACACATCTGTTAAACATTCTGCATCTGCTGCACATTATCTGAAGGTCATTATCAGATGTTTGATGGTTTAATAACACTTTGTACAGCTCAACATCCTTGTGATGTAACATCATGTCCTACAAGAGAAGGATCTAGTGTTAACAACAACACATGTACAATAATTGATCCAGGAACAGAGCTCACATAGAAAGACATTTCATTTGTGCCTGTGCAGTCAGTGTGTTTTCATGAAGCAGTTTAATCGCAGCTGTAGCTGTAGGGTTGCAAGCTTTTATTTGAAGCTTCAACATGACCAAAAACTACAAATAGATATTGCTGGAAGGCTGGGTTTACAGAATGGTGAAACAAATTATTTTGCATTATTGTAAGAGCGAGTGTGAATGTGTTTTAGTCATTTGGCCAGTATTATGTTTGTGCATTTTTAAATGTGAATGAATTTTGCCTTATGTCTGAATGGTGAAGAAGAACATGAAGCACTTTATGTTCGGAGTGAAATATTAACATACTACATACTGCACTGTAAATACTGTATACTGTTTTTATTTCAATTGTTTGTGAATCTGTATGCATTATGCAGTGATAAACATGTCGAACAAATACATTGTTGTCATACAACCTTAACATGTTGCATGATTAATTCATCAAGTGGAATTCAGTTATCCTTAAATAAAATATTTTTAAATGCTATTTTGCCTTTTGAAATCCAGTTTTGTGACTAATTAAAAAATGATTGGGTCTACAATGTATTTTGGCAAATGTAGTAGATAATTTAGGTATTGCATACATACAAACAATCTGGATACCGTATACATACTAGAAATAATCGTAGTACTGTGCTATTTTAAACATACGGTACACTGTTAACTGCTATCTTATAATGTTAACATGCAGCAACTTCACCTGCCTTGAGTCTCAGACTCTATTACCCGGCCAGTAGGTGGCGTACTTTACCAACAAGTTTTGTTGTTAACGCAGTCGCAGATGTGTTTTTTCCACATTAAACTGATTATTTGCTTCCTGCTTCAGCTTAAATGGTTACACAATATTATGAATGGTTAAACATTATTTAAACAATATATGACATGCAACTTATTGGGCAAAAGGATGAATTGTGCCCATGTAATGATGAAAACAACTCTGTCAGTGTTATCCAATATACTAGCAAAGTCATTCCATCTGTGTCTGTATTGTAGTATGTGCATACAAGATCTTTTTTCAAGTAAGAATACTAGTTATGTAATTTTACTAGTTATGATTCATTTTTGTCAATGAATGTTTGCTTTTGTTTTGTTTATCAAACTAATTATTTGTGTAAATCTACAGTCTCTAGATGTATAAGTATAATATTAAATGAATCTATTCAAATCTATATCCTAAATGAAGTCTTTGTGAATGTTTTTTGTTATTGCCTTTAAATGTGTAATGAAATGTTGATTTGTCAAATGGAGTTCTGTTAGCTGTGTTTTTAACCTGATCTGTTGTTTGTCCAATAAAGACAAATCAATTCATTTAATTTCCTGCAACGTTTTTCATATTATTGTAACATTCAGGATTAAGAAAGGCCTACAGTGGACCCAAAAAGTATTTGGATGCTTAAGTTGCACTAAATGTCATTGCATTACAAAAAAATACCAAACCAGACATTTGAATGAAAATCATAGTTTTTATCAAAACATACAGAGATTTGAGTAAACATGAATATGGCCACTGGAGCGCACTCTAGACATGCAACTAAAAGGCAAGCTAGACGAAAAAAAAGAAGAAAAAAAGAAGCCTTCGAAACAAAGGACTGCAGAAGTTTTTACTGTAAAGCCAGTGCATGGAGACCGTGCAGACAAACAGAGCTTTTGGTTAAAGAGGCAATAACTAGATTGATCTGTCTGAGCCTCCCCAATGCTCAAAGAAAACGAAGATGATCATTTCTTCAACAGTTTCCCAATGTGCATTTACAAACTGACAGCATTATCTGCTCTCTCACATCAGAAAGAGGCAAAGCTGGATCCCCCCTCGTTTTCCCCAGGGGTCTCTCTCTCTAAACCCCGACCCCATGTTTTAGTCCCGCCCTCAATCCAAGCAACTATCTGCATGTAAAAAGCCACAAGTCACGGAAACCCTTAATTGTGCCAAAGTAAGGTTGAGCGCACTTATTCACGCTGGAAATAAAGGATGCTTTTGAAGAAAGACAGTCGGCCAAGGAAATGGGATTTACTTTGGAAAAAGTACATTATTCAAACGTTGCTCTAGTGTGTGTTGGGCTGAAACACGTGGGAGTTTTGTGCTCAAACTTTCAGCTCTTTCTAAATGCATGGATGGACACTAAGAGAAGCGAATACGCGCAAAGTTCCGGGGATATAACTCTGTTCTCTTAAACAATCTCATCTGTTGTTCCTGAATTGTTTTGTCCTCCTTTTCGGAAAATACTGCCAAGCAACTTTTGTGGTTAAATGGGGGCATTGTGAGTTGTTTTCAGGGGGCTAAAGGCAACCACGGAAAACGAAGGAGAAGGAAAGTGCGGACTATTTAACAATGAACTGAGAGAATAGCAAGAAAGACAAGTGGGAGGACAGGCATCGCAATGGCTGAAAGGGAGAATGAGAGAAGAGCGCCTGTTCATAGAAGCGTCTCTTTCAAAAAGTTGGAGAGCTGGAGCGCAAAGCGCAGATCATTTGGAGAGGATTTGGATAGTTGCGGTGCCCTTCCCCCAGACGCCGTAGAGCACAGCGCGCAGACATCACAAGCGACGCACGCTGTTACTGAATCCAGAAAAGTTTCCAAAATCGCAGTGCTCAAACTTTCAGCTCTTTCTAAATGCATGGATGGACACTAAGAGAAGCGAATACGCGCAAAGTTCCGGGGATATAACTCTGTTCTCTTAAACAATCTCATCTATTGTTCCTGAATTGTTTTGTCCTCCTTTTCGGAAAATACTGCCAAGCAACTTTTGTGGTTAAATGGGGGCATTGTGAGTTGTTTTCAGGGGGCTAAAGGCAACCACGGAAAACGAAGGAGAAGGAAAGTGCGGACTATTTAACAATGAAGTGAGAGAATAGCAAGAAAGACAAGTGGGAGGA